CAATCAATTCATTCCAATTGTTCAATTTACTCACTTTATTTATTTTTGGATCATCTACTTTTCAATTAATTACTGCTGCGTTCATCCACATAGGTGTTATCACGGATGCGCCCGACTGCGTGTTGTACCCGCAGAGCCACGAGGACGTCGAACGCATCGTGCAGGCTGCTCACGTCCACAGGGCTCACCTGATCCCCTCTGGCGGCAGGTACGTCAATCTGACTCGTCGTGTAGCGCGCCCTATTTATTTCTATTTACATATTTGTTCTATTTATTTATTCATTTATTTTATTTTACTTATTGTTGTCGCGTGGTGGTGCAGGACGAACATCGTGGGCGCGACCGAGGCCGAGCGGATCGAGAACAGGTTCGTGGCCTCGCTCGACCTGAGGCGAATGAACAGGATGCTCTGGGTCGACAAGAAGACCATGACCGCCTGCTTCGAGGTACGACCGCCTCTCACACGCCGTCTTGCTGATCGACGCGCTCTGACCTTTTCCCTGTCCTCCACACGCTCCACGTGTCGTTGTTGGTCGTGTCGTGTCGTGCAGGCTGGCATTCTCGGTCCCGATCTCGAGAACGGGCTCAAGAAGGAGGGCCTTTCCCTCGGTCACGACCCCGACTCCTTCCAGTGGTCCACCCTGGGCGGCTGGTTGGCCACCTGCTCTTCGGGTATTTATTGCGAACAACAATTTCATTCCTAGTGCGTGGTGTGTGTGTGTGTACGTCGGGGGCCGCTGTTGCTGAGCGCTCTCGACAACAGGCATGCAGTCGGACAAGTACGGCGACATCGAGGACATGTGCCTGTCCCTCAAGGTCGTCACGCCGGGCGTGGGCACCATCACCACCCCGTTCGTCCCGCGCAACGGCTCCGGCCCTGCTCTCAAGCACCTCTTCATCGGCACCGAAGGTTCGAAACAATAACCGGTTGACTTCATTTAATTATTTATTTATTTATTTGAAATATTAATTCATTGTTATTCTTTTTTTCCCTCCCGGCGTCCAGGCGTGATGGGCGTGATCACGCAGGCGGTGATGCGGGTGCACAAGATTCCGGCCAAGCAGGAATTCCACGGCATCCTCTTCCCGTCCTTCGAGCACGGCGTCGCGGCCATCCACACCATGGTCCGCAAGGAATCCCACCCCGCCATGGTCCGGTACGTCACAATTCCTCCGCCACTCGCTTCTCGTGCCGTCGTGCCGTGCGTGTTGTGCGTGTTGTGCGTGTTGTGCGTGTCGTGCGTGTTGTGCACCAATCAAGGCTCGCGTGCAGGTTGTACGATCCGGATGAGACGCGGCTGTCGTTCCATATGAAGCCCAAGTCGTCGAAGCTCGTGTCGGCCTTCTCCGAGCTCCTCAAGAAGTTCCTCGAGCGCTTCAAGAACTTTGACCTCCAGAACATCTGCCTTATGATCGTCGGCGTCGAAGGCGAGGTCGACAACGTCAACTTCCAGAAGAAGAAGGTCTTCAAGATCGGTACGCATCGCACATATCTCTTTGCCGCTATCGTGTGTGTGTGTGTGTGTGTGTGTGTGTGTGTGTGTGTGTGTGTGTGTGTGTGTGTGTGTGTGTGTGTGTGTGTGTGTGCGGCGTGTGTTGTACTGACTGACGTGGTCGCGTGCAGCCAAGGAGGCCGGCGGGTTCTGGATCGGCCAGGGTCCCGGCAAGTCGTGGCACGAGAAGCGATACGACCTGCCCATGCTGCGCGATCTCCTGCTCGAGAAGGGCCTGTGGGTGGACGTCGCCGAGACCGCCGTCTCTTTCTCCAACCTGCTCCTCCTGTGGAAGGACGTCAAGGAGTCCGTGCTCGACGCCTTCAAGGAGCGCAACGCGCCCGGCTGGATCGGCGCCCACATCTCGCACACCTACACGTCGGGCGTGTGCATCTACTTCCACTACGCGAGCGTGCAGCAGCTCGACAAGAAGGACGACGTCCACGGCGAGGAGGACCTCAGCATCTACCTCGACGCCAAGAAGGCCGCCACCACCGCCATCCTCAGGTTCAGGCTACCTCTCTCTTTTCGCACCACTTCCCATCACCCCTTCGACTCACCGCACACGCCGCACACGCATCACCGCACACGCCGCACATGTAGGAACAATGGCGCGTTGAGCCATCACCACGGCGTGGGCTACGAGCACGTGCCCTTCATGAGCCGGTACATCGGCAAGTCCAGCATCAAGCTGCTCTCCGACATCAAGAAGGTGCGCTTTGCGCGTGTGTGCGGCGTGTTGGTGCGTGTGTCATCGGCGCGTTGCGTGTGCTTACACGACGCGTGTGCGGTGGTGCGTAGACGTTGGACCCGGCGTCGGTGTGCAACCCGGGCAAGCTGTTGCCAGAGGCCGGCAAGGAGGACATGGACAACGAGGACCTCTCGTTCTACAAGTATGGCTTCGCCTCCCTCACCGACCAGCTCAAGCAGGCCTCGTCCGTCAGGGCCAAGAGCGCGCTCTAAGCCCACTGGGCAAGTCCATCCAAAAATTTAATAATTTTGGTTATTCGAAATATTTATTTTTTTAATTGACACGAAACGTTTTATTCAACGTTTTGAAGAAAAGTGTTTTATTGCGAGGGGGTGCTGGTGGGTTATTAGAGGGCCTTCTCTACTCGTAACAGATCTTCGATGCTCTTGGCACCCACGCACACCGTGTAGGGGCACGACGAGATCACTGGGTCCATGGTGATGACGAACTGCTTGTCGCCGATGGCCTCGTTGACGGCTTCGGCCACGTCGTCGGTCCACTGGGCGACCCCGTCGGCGATGGCGGGCACGCAGTTCTGGTAGACCCGGTGAGCGAGGTACTCGCGCTGATTCTTGGCCGTGTCGTTGGTGACCCTGGCCTCGCCGGTGAGCTTCTCGAAGTGGAAGCTGGTCCACTCGGCTCCCAGCCTGTCCCGGGTTCTTCTGCTCTCCGGGTGCAAATTCCAGCCAATGCGCGATCGCGCGTTCGCGCATCCAGTAGACAGTTAACTGCGAAGTATACGGCCTTTATTTCCCTTGGCTCTCCCTGCCACGCGACCTTTCGTAGACCAACTCGTGCCGCAGGATGACCACGTTGGACTCGAGCACGGTCACGTGCAGCGTGGCGGTGGCCATTCCCTCATCCAGTGATGTCCACTTGAGGTCGTCCAGAGCATAGGTGGCGATGTGGTACAGCGCTGCGCCATCAGCCTGGTGGTGGTGCGGCGGCAGGTCAAGGCGCTCGAGGTCCCAGAACACATCGGCCGAAGAGGACGAGTTGCTCTGGGCGCCCACCACCAGCACGGACAGGGCCAGGCCGGTGAACGAAGTGGGCGTCTGGATCCGCAGCCGCAGCGTGACCCGGTCGTTCCGCTGCAGGACCACGATGGCCGGGCTGCCCGCCTGTTCGTAGGGCGATGCCGTCCCTGCATTCAGGTGGTTGATATGCTGGTGGTGTAGGCCGGCGCTGATGGTGACGTGGCCCGGCGCTCTTAAGAGTGGTGGGAAGGGAAGACTAGTCGTCGTGGTGGGAGAAGTCGAAGCTGACGTGGCGGTCGATGTTGCGGGCGGTGACGGCGACGGTAGTGGCCCTGGAAGAAAGGGGAGGGCGGCAGGGAGAGGCGGCAACTGGGTAGGCAGGCTGGTAGTTGTCGACACAGAAGGCAGGTTGGGCCGAAGCTTTGGCCGTTCTGGGTTCAGTGTCTTGAACATATACAGTAGTCGAATATATAAGTTGAATCATTCGACGCATGAGGACATCAGTTGATGGGTCGTACTTACGCAGAACTTCTCATGGTTGGCCCGAGCTTGGCTTGTCTTGCACGCTCGGCCGCACATACGGCAAATTGTTTCTGCACAGAACAGAGAAAACATGAAAGGCAGCCTTCTTAGAAGCTTCAATCTTGATTCGTCTGGGCAAACAAAGAACGTACTGGGATGCTTCGCACATGCCAGAGGAGCAAGGTCCACAAAAAGATCATCAATAGATTAATGATCAACAATGTTGGAAGAGAAAGGGAAGCAGGAAGGGCCACATACCACCACCACTTCCATTCTATGACGCCTTTTGGAAATCTTGGACGTTGTAGTGCAGGTGAACATGAATAAAATAACAAAGCTGTTGCTACGGGCGAAAGAATGTGTTCAGCTTTTATCCAATGGTTGAGAAAGAAAAAAGGCGGAAAACCAATTTCCACCGAAATGGCAAACGTGAATCAGGTGGGTGAGACTTTGACCATTACCACTCCGTGTGGTTCCACCGGCGCAGTGAAGGCATTGACGAACGTGCCCTCGTCCGACTCGGTCCACAGGTTCCGCACCCTCTGCGTACGTGAAGCCAGTCCCATCTCGGCCCTGTGTGCAGCCGCCCCCGGATCAGTGTCGGGGCAATGGAAAAAGAAAGAAAACAAAACAAAGAAAAGGCGCCTTTCGGTGGAAAACGCACCAGGTCACGGTGATGTTGGTCCGGCTCGTGTTCCTGTTCCACAAGAGCACCGCCTGGGAGTTGTCGTGCAGCCTCCTCGTCCACACCTCCAGCCCGCTCTGCGCTCTCAACCTTCCACTGAACGCCGCACACAATCAGCTTTGTGTGCGTGTGAGGTGGTGCGTGTGCGTGTTCGCGTGCGTGTGCGTTTGTCTGTGTGCGTGAGCGTGTGGGGTGCGCGCGGTGATTTACGCACCCCTGGCGGCCCAAGGGGTCCTGGTTGACGGCGATCACCTCGCGCGCGGTGAGTATGGTGCGCGTCTCGTGGGACATCGTGCGGATGTCGTTGCCGGCGATGAGCGGCGCCGCCATCATGGCCCACAGCGAGAAATGGGACTTGTACTCGTCGTAGGTCATTCCACCGTTCCCCACCTCCAGCATATCCGGGTCATTCCTGCATTCAACCCTTAAGTCAGCGCCCTCGTGTTGTGCTGGCGTGTGCGGCGTGTTGCATCGGTGAGTACCAGGCACCGGGGCGAGCCCACTGCGCAAGCTTCATCTCTTCCTGGTAGTGGTGGCCAAGGCGTGAACAATGTGTTCAATCAGGCGATGGTTGTAGGTTGATGTTTGTGTTTGTTTACCTGGTAGTCGACGATTTTGAGGATGGTGGCCCACTCGTCACGGATGTCGATCCACTCGCGCCACAGATTGCAAACGGAGGCCACCTTGGCCCAGGGCACCGACATGTTCTTCAGGTCGGCGTAGGTTGGCCAGCTGTGGTGGAATGTGAGAAAAAAACGTGTGGTATGTCTTCGTCGTGTAGCTGTTCTGTCACCTGCAGCTGAAGACCATTGGCCTGGAGGCGTTGCCGAGGAGCTGGGACCATTGGGTGTACTTGGCCTCCATCTGGTCCACCGGGAAGTAGCACCCGTCGAGCTTCAGCAGGTCCACGCCCCACTCGGCGAAGGTCTTCACGTCCAGCGCCTCGTACCCCTGTGGCAGAAGGTTCTCCGTCAGTCCCGAGGGCGCACACTCCATCACACGCGCACGCGCCCGGCCCGCAGCTGCGCACGTACGAAGCTGCCGGGGAAGCCTTCGCAAGTCTGCTTGCCGCAGTCTTGGTAGATGCCGAACTTGAGACCTCTCTTGTGGATGTAGTCCGCCACGTACTTGATCCCCAAGGGGAAACGCTGCGCTCACACAGGAAATCGGCATGTCAGCACCCGAGTGTGTGTGCGGTGTGTGCGGTGTGTGCGATGGGTGCCTTCGGGTCGGGCTGGAGGGTGCCATCGGGAGCTCTGCTCTTGGCCAGCCAGCAGTCATCGACGTTGATGTACTCATAGCCAACATCCCTACGCAAATTGACGCACGCACGCACGCAGCACACACACACATACACACACACACAATGCACGCCACCACACGCCACACCGGTAAGTCATCACAAACGCACAAACGGGGAATAACGCGTACTTCATGCCGGCGAGGACCATGGCGTCGGCCATTTGGATGAGGAGGGCCTGGGAGATGCAATTGAACGGTTGCCGGTCGCAGTCGATGGAGCACCCGAAGTGGTTCCATGAGTTCCAGCCCATGGGCGGCGTGCGCGCCAAACCGTTATCCCACCCCACCACCTGCACAAGGTGAGGAAACACTGAAACCTTGCTTTGGCCAAAAAAAAAATACAAAAAAAAACCCGCACTGTAGTTTGCGGGGACAATAGGCGCGCGGGAGGGGGGAGTGGGAAGCAAGAAAGCGATCAAATAGATTGGCCATCGCTTTCGTTCTTTTATTTTGTTGTATTTCATCTTGTGACAAAATAATTTCATAAAAAGAGAAAAAATTTGCTGCAAATTTGAAGCAACAAGGAAGCAAGCGTAAGGGTGCACCTGGGCTGGGGCGAAAAGAGAGGAAGCGAAGAGGAGGGCCAAGACCAGGACGCAGCGCATTCGGAGGCACGATAGGTGGCAAGAGACAGATCAGATAAAGTGAAGTTGCGCTTTGTCTGTTCTATTTTATTTTTCTCTGTGCGCCGTGATTGGCTAGCTGCATGCTCAGTTAGGGTTCTTGTTGCACGAAGAGCAGACGTTGGCGGCGCGCATCCTGCTCACCCCCCCCCCCAAACCACGAAAGTTAGATATGTACGTACCACGCATACTACCCGAGAGATCTCCTAAGGCGCCCGAGCGAGGGACGTACTTGCCGCCCTGGCCCTTGTTGCACGAGGCGCAGTACTTGGCTCCGCACTGCTTGCACGAGCGGGTCATGTTGGCGGTCGAGCAACCAAACTGGCACTGCAGGGTCGGAAGAGGGGAGACACGTGGTCAAGCTCAGTGAAGAGGCAGCCGAACTTTTCTTCTGGTGGTTACTTACCATTGTGTTTTGTGGGTTGAAGAAGAAGTGGTAGTTGGGGAGGGAGAGGTGTAGTTCGCAGGTTTGAAGAAGTGGTCAGGGTGGCCAGTGGGCCAACTACCAGCCGATTGGCGCGGATTTACCCAGTACCAGGAAGTGGCGGCCGCGAACGGAGTTTGTAGGTAGTTCTCGATTGATGGGTACTTCCTATTGCCGGTGTCCAACCACCCGTTGCTGACCTCCATTTATGCCGTTTCATGGGACACCAGCTCCGCCACCCAATTAGCATCAGCATGTTGAATGAACACGTTTGACACCACGCAACGAGGGTCGCCAGCCAGGCGAAGCAATCGCAGCGCGGCACCCAGCGAAGGCGCCGCTGGCTAATCGTTGACCGCCGTGGCGCACTGCCCCTGCCTCACACAGGTGTGCCTCCACTCCGTGGTGCAGCATCCAGCGCTCGAGGGAGCCTGAAATTGGGCAGCTGAATTTCCGCGTCGGCCAGCACCGTTAGCGTGGATAGTTCCTGTGCCGAAGTTGGCGGTCAGCAAGTGGGTGGTGCATGTTGCCGGGCGGTACGTCCTGTGCCAGTCAAGAAAATGAAAGGAAGAGGGTGTGTGAGATTGTGGGGAAATGAGGTGTGGGTGGGCAGGCACACAAAAATCAGTGTGTATGTATGTGCTGATTTTGGTGTGGATGGGTGGGTGAGGGCTTCTTGCCGCAAATCAATGAACCAATAACAAATAGATCTCCGTGCCACGGGCAGTGCCCAGGCCTTGGGTGCATCGCTATTGGGTGACACACCCTGAACACTGTGCGGTGACCGTCTGGACCACGGGACAGGCCGCAACGACGGTCGCTAAGTCAGCAGAACTCATCTGCACTCGGTCTGCTGGCTCCAGGCGAAGCGATCGCAGTGCCGGGCACCCAGCGAAGGCGCCCTCGGCCACCGGTTCAGCCTCCGCATCGTTGACGTTACTCATCAGGCGCACCGTGAGCCCAGGTGGGAGCGCGGCCGAGCGGACGCGCAACTGTGCTAGGCAGGGGCAGTGCGCCACAGCCAGCGACATGACCAGAGCCTTGGGCGAGTGGGTCACCAGGCGTACCGTCTTGAGCCGTGGCACGTGACGAATCGTCGCCGTGGCCAAGCGTGCATGCCGCACCTTCACTGAGCGCAGCTGTGGCCACCGGTGCCCGCCGCCTGCGCCGGCGCCGCCCTCGATGGCCAGCGTGGCTCCCGGGTCGTCATCGTCATCGTCGTCGCTAGAGAGCACGCCCCGGATCGAGAGTGTCTCGAGTGAGGGCAGCAGCGCCAGGGCGCGCAGCTCCGCCTCGGCGAACGGCGTCGGGTGATCGCGCGAGTTGGCGGGCGTACAGTTGGCGTCGAGCGTGAGGCGGGTCAGGCGGGAGAACCGCGCCAGCAGGCCTTGGACTGGCGGCGCCTCAGGCCCTGCGGCCGACATCGACAAGGGCCTGCCACCTGACAACAACCACCGGCCCGATAGCTCGAGCCGCTGTAAGTTGGCCCCGCTGCCGCCGCCACCGCCGCCGTCGTCTATGGGCGCCACGACCAGCCGAGCCTCTAATTGCACCGCCCCCTGGGCCTGGGGGAGTCGCTGCAGCGTGGATGGTGCCACCCCAAGCGGCGGCTGGCCGGTCAGGATGACGGTGGTCAACAGCGGACAGGCCGACACCACACGGTGCAGCGCATGAGGTATCCATGATGGCTGCTGGTCGGCAGTTGTCCTTGCTTCGTTGCCACTGTTGTTGCCATCGTAGTCGTCATCGAAGTCGAGATCGCGATCGAGCGAAACGTGGACGCTGGTGAGCAGGGGCGACGACTCGCTCAGGCTCGTGACCGTGCGCACCAAGTCCCGACTGTGCATATCCCGGGCGTCGATCCGACAGCTTCGCAACCCGGCGCACTCGATCGTCAAGCCAATGCGAAGCGGTCGTCCACGCTCGGCCTTGTCGTCGTCGTCGTCGTCGTCGTCGTCGTCGTCGTAGTCGTCGTCGTCGTCGTCATCGCTTTCAGATCCGCAGCCATACACGACAAGGTGCTCGAGCAGCGGGTGCCGCAGATGGAAACGACAGCTGCCCGCTTCGTCTGCCCTGCTGCAGCTGCGCCGCCTCCTGGGCTGGTGGTGCCTGAAAAAGCCGCTGAGGGTGAGGCTGCGCAGCTGGGCCAGCTTGGGTTGGCCGCCTTCGTCGTCGCGTTCGGACAGGGCCTTCATGAGGCTCTCGTCGGGCTCGTGCTCCGCCGAGGCTGGGCCGGACGCGGTTGTGATCTCCGGGCTGTGGTCCAGGTCGAGCGAGGTCAGCCCAGAGAGGCCGTGGGTCATCGCCGCAATGAAAGCGCCCGAAAGGCAGGCACTGTGCAGCGTCAGCTTGGCCAGGCTCGACCGCCATGATCCTCCGGCGGCGGCGGTACAGTCCGGTGGCAGCAGGGCTGCCAACGATGCGACATCGTCGCAACGAAAGCCAATGAGGACGAGCTCGTTGAGGTGAGGCAGGGCTTCGAACCCGGCTGCGACCGACGCGAAGGTGAGCTGCGAGCTCGGCAGTCGGTTGTCGGCACGCCTCTCCAGCTTGTTGGCGCCAAGCTCCAGCTTGCGGAGCGCAGGGAAGGCCTGTAGGACTGGGACCAAACTGGCAGCGGGCCAGGCTTGGTCCCACAGATTCAGGCCTGTCCACGACGCAAGAGGGTTCTGTGCCGCAGCCGGCCTGCCACGGAATTGGTTGTGATTATTAATTGAGCTCATGTTTTAGGAGGACTGTTGGGGATTGAGTGGTGCGCGTGCGCGTGCGTGAGCAGTTGATGATTTACCGAGGGGCGATGAGCTCGTTCTGCTTCTGCTTCTGCTGTTGTTGCTGCTGGGAGGTGATGCGCTGGATGAGTTCGCCAACGGCAAACCTGTCAAGACTGGGTCCTTCGATGAGCTTGGAGCCAGGCTCGCTCAGCAGGTCGACCAACGCTTTGCCGGCCGCTTCGCAGTCGACCGACACGGGGCAACCGCGCAGGGAGGTCAAGTGCTTGAGCCTGCCCGTGGCGTGCAGCTGCTCCAGCAATTCCAACGACAGTCGGCTGTTGCGGAGACTGTTGAGATTGGGCAGCTGAGCCAACATGTCGGCCGTCCAGCGCGGCATTGGCATGGATAGTTCCTGTGCCGAATTGGATGTAAGCCTGCGACCACCAACCACATGTGTGCGGTGGTGCGTGTTGCCAGGCGGTACGTCAGACTTACCTCAAGCTGAGGGCACACATCACTGAGCACACCTATCGCTTGCTCCTTGTGCTTATAATCAAAGTGCAGCTTCAGCTTTCTGTAAAAGTAAGCATAAAAAAACAAGCAATTGGCGCAATCAATCATGAGCAGTGATGCAAATCGAATGCATTGCTAGCAAGCAAGTACCTGAGCTTGGGAAATGCGCCCAGGTGGCGCAGACCCTGGAGCGTCACGTCGCAGTGGGAGCGGAATGAGACCTCGCCCAGGGTTTCCGCAACAGCGCTTCGACTCAGCGCCCGTAATAACTCATCACTCGCTCTGTGCATCAAGCAAATTTTCTTTTTAGTATAATTATAATAAAAAACACACTAGTTACTATTGGACGTGGGTGGGGGTACCTTGGCGTGGCCATGGTGGTGAGGTGGTGCCACAGTGAAGCCGTTTCAATCAGCGCCTCCTCCGACAAATGCATGCACTTCCTAACATTCATTCCATTATCCACCATGGGTGTGTGGATGAGGGTGAGAAGAGTTGTTTTAGAAACTGTCAAAAAGAAGAGGATGGGGGAGTACGAGAGATCGAGGCGGTGAGTGTCATCGGTGGGGAAATGGTACGACAGGTAGCCAAGCAGGGCGAGCGTGCAGTCGTCAGTCAGCTGCCAGTGGTGCATGGCGCGTGCCACTCGCACGCACCCATCACCGCCCAGCCCACCCGCGATTGCTCTGTGCCCCCCCACCAATGAATTAAAATACAATAGTATTTTGTATTTTAATTGCACCAATTATTTCATATGGGGGGCTGAAAGCGCACTTAGCCAGGGCCTGGTGGTGGGCAGGAGGGATGACGGTGACCAGGGTGGCCACACAAGCATCAAACAGGGTGCCCTCTGCAGCGACCACGCTCGCCACGCTTCGCCTCTTCATCTCTCATCGCCTTGGCGGTGGAAATCTAGAATGGGCCAACGCGTCTGTTTTCGGTCAAAAAATAATAAATTTCGAATTTGTATTTTGTTTCGGAAATGTTTGCTCATTCTTTGGGAGATGTGACGGAGATACCGGGTTGCCTGTCTCCGGGTGGCCCGGCGAACAACTTGCGCCCTATCGCCGACTGCTGGCAGGGGCTACCTTTGGATAAATAAGACGGTCCCTCGTGACTGGAGGTGTCTTTTCAACACACAGAACACTGAACACAGAAGAACCACTTACTCCTTACTCAAATGGAACACAAGCAACAGAGCACAGGCGAGGAGGCGCCGACGCTGGCGCCCTTCGTGGCCCCTTGGGACGGCTATGCCGCCGAGGACCCCGGACCGGCCGCCCAGCGCGGCACGCCTCGTCACGTGCCGCACCTCTTCACGCCCCTCAAGATTCGCGACGTCACCTTCAAGAACCGCACCGTCGTCTCCCCCATGTACGTGCACTCCTTTTTATATTTCGTCTATTTATTTATTTATTATTTATTTATTTTAACAAAAATTTCCTGTTTTATTAACTAATTATGATTATTATTCACTGCAGGTGCACCTACACGTCGGTGGACGGTCTGATGAACGACTGGCACCTGACCCACCTGGGCGCCTTTGCCAAGGGCGGCGCGGGCCTGGTGGTGTTCGAGGCGTCCGGCGTGCAGGACGTGGGCCGCATCACGCCGTGGGACGCCGGCGTGTGGAAGGACGAGCACATCGCGCCGCTCAAGCGCATCGTCGACTTCGTCCACTCGCAGAAGGCCCGCGCCGGCCTCCAGATCGCCCACGCCGGACGCAAGGTGCGTTGACCCCAGACCTTGACGCGAAAGCCTGGCAACTAACGCGAGCGTCGTGTTGTGTGTGTGTGTGTGTGTGTGTGCTGTGTGTGTGTGTGTAGGCGTCCACATATCCGCCGCATTTGATCTTCCCTGCGCCCGGCGCGCCTGTGCCAGTGGACAAGGGCGGCTGGGTCCCGGTCGGCCCCTCGCCTGTACGTGCCACCACGACACGACACGACACGACACACACACCGACACGCGCTTACCAACAAACATGTCAATGAGCAGATTGCGTGGGACGACAAGTCGCCGGTTCCGCACGAGCTCACCAAGGACGAGATCCAGGCCATCGTGCAGGCCTTTGCCGACGCCGCCGTGCGGGCCGACAAGGCCGGGTTCGACGTCGTGGAGATCCACGGCGCCCACGGCTACCTCATCTCGTCGTTCAACTCGCCGCTCGCCAACCACCGCACTGATGAGTACGGCGGCAGCTTCGAGGTACGCGCACCCCTGTGTTCTGTGCAGTGTGTGCGGTTGGTGCAATGACGCTTAATAACGAGTGTGTGTCGTGTGCGTCGTGTTGTGCTGTGCTGTGCAGAACCGGACGCGGTTCGTGCTGGAAGTGGTGAGGGCGGTGCGCAAGGTGTGGCCGGCGTCGAAGCCGCTGTTCCTGCGGCTGTCGAGCTCGGATTGGGTCGAGGGCGGCACCACTGTCGAGGATACGGTCCGGCTGGCCAAGTTGGTCAAGGTCGAGGGCGTCGATCTCGTCGACTGCTCTTCCGGTGGCCAAAGGTAACACACACACACACACAACACACACGTATCTACGTCACGCACGACACTGACGGGAACAACGCCGTGCGCGCGCGCTGCCATGACACAGCCCAGCGCAGAAGATCAGCGTGGGGCCACTGTATCAGCTGCCGTTCGCCGAACAGGTCAAGCGCGAGGCTGATGTGCTTACCGGCGCCGTGGGACTCATCGTAGAGCCTGTTCAAGCCGAGGAAATCATATTCCACAAGCGTGCTGGTACGCATTCCCGGCCCACACACACACACACACACACACAACCACGCACGCACACACGACACACGACCAACTAATGAGCGTGGTATGGTTGTGCAGACTTTGTGTTCCTCGGGCGCGAGCTGCTGCGGGATCCGTTCTGGGTGCTTCACGCGGCCAAGGAGCTCAAATACGACATCCACTGGCCCGTGCAGTACGTACTTCCGCTCGGCATTGAAACGACACGAAAAGATGTCGGCAGTGTGTCTCACACGAGTTTGCACACAGGCACGAGTGGGCGGTCAACAGGCCAGGCCCAGGCATCGCCAACCTCCCCTAAGAACGTCTGCCTACACAATGACGTCGCTCTTGGCTCGCTACCGACTAGTTCAGTCTTAGCTCATAAAAATGAAGTGTTATTGTGGCAAGTGAGATCGTGGCCCCTATGAGCCGTGTCATATGCTATTTGTAGGCTTAGCTCCAGGGTCGCAGGTAGCCTAGTTCCTCCTCTTCTTCTCGTGCTGCTTCACCTCCTGCTCCTCCATCCATGATACTCCGGGGTGCTCGGCCAGAGACTGTCCACACAACAGCACAACAAGTTACAGTCGGCAGTGTGTCTCACACGCGTTGCACACAGGCCTCTAGATCAACACATCTGAGTACACATGTTGGGCTTACCGTGGCGGCGTGTTGGGTGGAACGCTTGTTCTGGTGCCTGGCCTCGAAGAGGAAGTAGTTCTTGAGGTTGGCCACGGGGCCAAGGTTGATGAAGCCGTGCTGCTCGGCCACCTCGTCGGGATTGTGTCCCTCCTCCACCTTCACCGCCCACTGCGGTTGCTGCTGCTGCTCCTCCAGTTCGTCTCCCATCACCACTGTACACGTTGCCAATCGATTAAGTAATCGACGCTCTACTCGCTACTCGCCAACTCTTAAAAGCCGAAGAATGCCAAAGGGGGAGATGAATTGAGAGCGAATGAGAGGAAGACGCAAGTCCCTCAGGACCAGAAGTAAGACGAAGGAATTGATTTGAGCTTTAGATCAGTGGGAGATTGCATTGATGAAAGAAAAGATGAAGAGAACTGGCCAAGGAGGATTAGAGGGGGGGAGAGAAGGAGAGGTACCAATGCTAGCGAGCGCGAGACAGAGAAGGGTAATGGCGATAAGGGCGGTCTTCATGTCGTACGGTCGTAACGTTGCGTTTGGTCGTTGCCGTGGTGGAAGTGGTTGAAAAGAAATCAGGAAATGGGTGGCAAAAAAAGGGAAAAAACAGTGCACGGTGCAGTGTATGTCAATTGCTGAGCAAAGGTGTCCTCCACGCTTCGTGACCTGGCGTGGTAATCACGCATTGTGGTGCACCGCCATTCACGGCGGTCAGTTGTTGCACTCTGGGTACAGCGGTCTGTCAGCCGCGGTAACCTCCACCAATAAAAATGGCCAAAATAATAATAAAGAAGAAAGAAGTCGCGACTTCACGCTGCACCACCGCACAGAGCGTAGTTTTATCTGTGGCCAGAACTGATACGCTGCGGTATGCACTCACCCTAACCTTACGCTCCATCGCATCAAGATTGCAGATTGATCTTCATTTGTGTAGTTCCAAACCGATTTTTCTATAGAACAAGAGATGGAGCAAGTAGTGGAGGCGGACAAGAAGTGCACATTCTCCATCGATCGTGGCGGCACATTCACTGACATCTATGCCGAGGTACGCCCAATCTTTTTAATATATTATTATTATGATTGATGTTTTTATTTTCGTGCTTCATCAATTATCATGATTTACTTATTAAAATAATTGGGGGCCTTCAACCTTCGCAGGTGCCAGGCGAGCCCGGCTTTAGGGTGTGCAAGCTGCTGTCGGTTGACCCCAGCAACTACGACGATGCCCCGCGCGAGGGCATCCGCCGCATCCTCGAAGAGGTACGCCGCGCACGCCACCGCACACGCCACCGCACACGCACCACCGCACACGCGCGTTGCTTCTTCTTTTATTGACGCAAGCGCACGAACGCGTACGCAGGTGACGGGCAAGTCGATCCCCAAGGACTGCGTCGACACGTCTCACATCAAGTGGATCCGCATGGGCACCACCGTCGCCACCAACGCCCTGCTCGAACGCAAGGGCGAGCGCACGGCCCTCATCGTCACCAAGGGCTTCCGCGACGTCCTCCGCATCGGTGCGCACGCACACGACCGCACACCACCGCACACAACGCACACGCGTAGCTGCACACACTAACAGTTAGAGTGTAGGCAACCAGTCGCGACCTGATATCTTCGATTTGAGCATGAAGAGGCCCGAGATGCTCTACGAGCAGGTGGTCGAAGTCGAGGAGCGCGTCCGTCTGGTGGGCGCCGAGTCCAACCTCCCCGCCGACTCTGCCTCTACCGGCAGTACGCTTGCTCTTATCTCGTCGTCCTTCGCTCTTTTCTCGTTTTTCCCCCGTCCTTCGCTTTCTTGAATTGTACAGCTGATTGCTTGTGTGACGTCTGCAGACTACGTAAAGGGCACCACGCTCGAGTGGGTCGAAATTTTGAAGAAGCCCAATCTCGAGAAGCTCGAGGCCGACCTCAAGGTCAAACCCACGTCTTCTCATTCTCATTTTTTTTCAGCTCTCATAGAATCATTTCTTACAACCGCACACGCACCACCGCACACATCGCACACGCACACCTCGACACACATACATGCACGCTACAGGCGGTCTACGATTCGGGCATCCGGGCGGTGGCCGTGGTGCTGATGCATTCGTACACCTTCCACGAGCACGAGGCACTGGTGGGCCAAGTGGCGGCCAAGATCGGCTTCGAGCAGATCTCGCTCTCGCACGAGGTCATGAGCATGTTCCGCATCGTCCCTCGGTAACTCTCCTTTTTTCCCTCGTTTATTAGTATTTATATTATTTATCTGTTTATTATTATTATTTATCTTTATTACAGGTTTCATTTTAAATTTTTCTAATTACTCGGCTTGTAGAGGTTTCACGGCGACGGTGGACGCCTACTTGACGCCGCTGATCAAGCGCTACATCGAGAACTTCTCCAAGGGATTCGACGAGCACCTGACCAAGAACGTGCGCATCTCCTTCATGCGCAGCGACGGCGGACTCGCTCCCGTCGACCGCTTCCGCGGCTCCTCCTCCATTCTCTCCGGCCCCGCTGGTTCGCCCAAGCCCTTTCCCTTTCTCCCCCTTGCATTCCTCGACCATTACAGCGTGCATTCCTGACGCATTCCTAAACGTGGGATGACATTCTTCTGGGGCTGCAGGAGGTGTGGTGGGCTACGCCATGACGACCGACACCGAGGAGAAGATGCCCGCAATCGGCTTCGACATGGTACCGGCCCTCGTCATCGTTTTCTTCTTCTTCTCCTCCTCTTATCATCACCAATGTCACTACATTTGTGTACATGGCTCACGAGGTGGTGGTGGAAACAGGGCGGTACGTCGACAGATGTGTCGCGCTATGCGGGCATCTACGAGCAGGTCTACGAGACGGTGACCGCGGGCATCACCATCCAATCGCCGCAGCTCGACATCAACACCGTGGCCGCTGGCGGCGGCTCCCGCCTCTTCTTCCGCTCGGGCCTGTTCGTCGTCGGCCCCGAGTCCGCGGGCGCGCACCCGGGTCCTGTGTGTTATCGCAAGGGCGGCTATCTGGCCATCACGGATGCCAACTTGCTGCTAGGTACGTGTCCGTGCGTGTCGTGCCATGTGCGCGCATGTCGTGTGTCGCGTGTGTCGTGTGTGCGGTGCGCTGATCGAAGGTGTTGGGTTCAGGCCGCCTGCTCCCCGAGTACTTCCCCAAGATCTTCGGTCCGACGGAGAAGGAGCCGCTCGACAAGGAGGGCACAGAGAAGGCCTTCGCCGAGCTCACCGCGCAGATCAACCAGTGGCACGCCAAGCAGGGCGACGCCAAGCAGCTCACGCCCGACGAGGTAGCCTACGGGTTCATCCGAGTGGCCAACGAGACCATGTGCCGCCCCATCCGCGCGCTCACCGAAGCCCGCGGCCACGACCCGGTAGCCCAGACCACCACGACCTTGACTTTGACTTGACTTTGACTCATTTTTTCTCTCTGCGCAGTCAAAGCACGTCTTGGCGTGCTTCGGCGGCGCCGGCGGCCAGCACGCGTGTGCGATCGCGCGCATGCTGGGCATGCGCCGGGTGTTCATTCACCGCTTCGCCGGTATCCTGTCTGCCTATGGCCTGGGCCTGGCCGACATGGTCGAGGAGTTCCAGGAGCCCTGCGCCCAGACCTACTCTCGCGAGAGCATGGCCGGCTACCTCACCCAGCGCATCGACGCCCTGGGCCGCAAGGCCACCGCCCGCCTCGAGGCCGTCGGCTTCGACCAGGGCTCCATCATCATCGAGGCACCACCACCCTACAATTTGCCATACGTCATAAATGACATTTTACTGACGTCATCCTCGTGTGCGTGTGTGTGGTGTGTGTGGTGTGTGTCGCGCGCGTGTGTGTGTGTGTTGCAGCCGTACCTGGATTTGAGGTACGAGGGAACGGACACGATTCTGCGCACCAAGCAGCCGGCAGTCGGAAGCGAGTTCGAGGGCGACTACGAGGGCGCCTTCAAGGCCGAGTACCAGCGCGAGTACGGGTTCACCATTAAGGAGCGCGCTGTCGTTGTCGATAACATCCGCGTCCGCGCCATCGGCGTCACCGCCAACGTCAAGCGCATCCCCAAGCTCAAGCTTGACGCCCCCTTCTCCGAGAGAAAGTACCCTCCACAGCGCTGCCCCACATGTCCGCGCACCCATTCACTGTGTGTCGCGTCGCGTCGCGTCGTGTTAGGGTGGAGTACACGACGTGCTATTTCGAGGGCGGGCGGGTGAAGACGCCGGTCTACCAGCTCTCAGACCTGGGCGCCGACGACATCGTCGTAGGTCCGGCGATCATCATCGACAAGACGAGCACGATCGTGATCGAGCCCCTGTGCAAGGCCAAGATCACCAACTGGGGCGACATCTCCATCGAAGTCCAGTCGGCCCGCAAGGCCTCCATCGGGTACACACCGCACACACATCACCGCACACATACACTCGCACCACCGCACCACCGCACGCACCGCAGACGCACATGGTGACGTCATCAAATCGCATGCCGTGCAGGACGGATTTGGATCCGATCCAGCTGTCGCTGTTCAGCAACCGGTTCATGAGCATCGCCGAGCAGATGGGCAAGACGCTCCAGCGCACCTCCATCTCGACCAACATCAAGGAGCGCCTTGACTTCTCCTGCGCCCTCTTCGGCGTACGCCCACGCTCTCGACCCTTCCCCCCCCCGCGTCCCATCGCGTTCTCTTTCTCATCGCACACACCGCACACGCGCACACACCACACGCGCGCGACCGCACACGCATACGTGCGCAGCCGGACGGAGGGCTTGTGGCGAACGCGCCGCACTTGCCCGTGCACTTGGGTGCGATGCAGGAGGCGGTGCGGTACCAGGTCCGCCTGCTCGGGGCCGACTGGAAGGAGGGCGAGGTCGTCGTCTCCAACCACCCGGCCGCCGGCGGCTCTCACCTCCCCGACATCACCGTCATCACCCCCGTACGGCCCTTAGGCCCACCTCCTCCACCTTCCATCGCTCCGGCCGCTGACCGTGTATCGTGCGCGTGTCGTGCTGTGTGCTGCGTGTGTCGTGTCATGTGCGGTGTGTGTCGTGTCGTGCGTGTGTTGTGTGCGGCGTGCGCAGGTGTTTAAGAACGGAAAGACTGTGTTCTTCGTGGCGAGCCGGGGCCACCACGCTGACATTGGCGGCATTTCGCCGGGTTCGATGCCGCCCTTCTCCCACACGCTGGCCGAAGAGGGCGCCTGCATCAAGTCCTTCAAGCTCGTCAAGGACGGCGTCTTCCAGGAAGAGGTATGCTTCTCTCATTTTCTCTTTCATTATTGATTTAATAATTGAATATGTGAAAATATATATTTACATTTTGTATTTCAAGTAAATCAAGCTGTCAGATTAAACAATGATGAATATATTATATATTATATGGCAATTTTGTAAAATAGGGAATTACGGAGCTGTTGATGGCGCCGGGCAAGATGGAGAGGCAGCCGAACGAGGTGCCCTGCTCAGGTACTCGCAACCTGCGAGACAACATGTCTGATCTCAAGGCCCAGGTACACACACACCTACACATCACCACACGCACCACCGCACACGCACACTCATCACCGCACGCGCTCATGCGGACTGTGCGTGCGTGTTTTGTCAGGTGGCGGCCAATAACAAGGGCATCCACCTGGTGGGCGAGCTGATCGAGGAGTACGGCCTCGAAGTCGTGCAGGCCTACATGTTCCACGGTACATTCACCATAATTTTATTTGTTTTTTTATCATTTATTATTCTTTATAGGTATTATTTATTTGTTTCTATATGTAATAATTTCTAATATTTCTTATTCTTGAATTTATGTGGATGCAGTGCAAAACAACGCCGAGCAGGCGGTGCGTGAGATGCTGCGTACGCTGTCGGAGGAGCACGGCCTGGACCCGGTCGACCACCTCTACGCCGAGGACTTCATGGACGACGGCACCCCCATCCGCCTCAAGATCACCATCGACCGCAACGACGTACGTCCCCTCTCTCGACCATCTTTTGCCCGATCTTTGGCTGATCATCGTGCGTTGGGTGGTCCAGGGCACGGCCGTCTTCGACTTTGCCGGCACGGGCCACGAAATCTACGGTACGTGGCCCCGACGCCGGTCGCAAGTGTCGCGTGTCGTACTCACGCGTGTTGTGTGCGGTGCGTGTCGTGTGTGTCGTGCGCGCGCAAAGGTAACTTGAATGCGCCGCGTGCGGTGACGATGAGTGCCGTGATCTATTGCCTCCGGTGTCTCGTGCGACGCGAGATTCCGCTCAACCAGGGCTGTCTCAACCCCGTCAACGTCATCATTCCCGAGGTACTCTTTTGTGTGTGTGTGTGTGTGTGTGTCGTGAGTGTTGCTCACCGCACGCGCGCACGTGACGTCGCTAGGGCTCGATTCTGGCGCCGTCCGAGGAAGCCGGCGTCGTGGGTGGCAACGTGCTCACCTCCCAGCGCGTCACCGACGTCATCCTCACCGCCTTCAAGGCCTGCGCCAATTCCCAGGTACCCTCTCTTGCGCGCGTGTGCGGTTGTGCGTGTGCGGTGGTGAGTGTGCGTGTGCGGTGAACTCATCAGTGGCTGGCCGGCCGGCAGGGCTGCATGAACAACTTCACGTTCGGTAACGAGCGGATGGGCTACTACGAGACCATCGCCGGCGGCGGTGGCGCCGGCCCAGACTGGGAGGGCGAGTCGGGCGTCCATTCGCACATGACCAACACCCGCATCACTGGTACCGCGCCCGCCCGCGCCCGCGCCCGAATCTGGGGAATGCCACGTCATGCTGACATGTGTGTGTGTGTGTGTGTGTGTGTGTGTGTGTGTGTCGTGTGGTTTTTAGACGCGGAGATCCTGGAGCGCAAGTACCCGGTGCTGCTCAACGAGTTTTCCATCCGCGCGGGCAGCGGCGGCCGGGGCCTGCGTCGCGGCGGCGACGGCGTCGTGCGCGAGCTCCAGTTCCTGCAGCCGCTCACCGTCGGCATCCTGTCCGAGAGACGCGCCTTTGGTACAATCGCACGCACGCACACACCACACACACACACACACACACCGCATCCGCACACGGCCTAACTATTATTATTCTTATTTTCATTATTATGCAGCGCCGCACGGGCTCAACGGAGGCGAGGACGGTGCGCGCGGATCGAACGAGTGGGTGAAGGCCGACGGGCGGGTGGTGTACCTGGGCGGCAAGAACACCCTGACCATGGGCGTCGGCGACCGCCTGCGCATCATCACCCCCGGCGCCGGCGGCTACGGCAAGCCCACCACCACCAACTGATGCTATTCGTGGAATTTTTGCCCTCCCTCTTGATCACACTACATTCTTTCTTTCGCCACTTACCTCTTCGGTGCGATGGCCACCACCAATGGAACGGTCAGAAGGGCGAAGAAGTTGTGCACTTCTGTCCTCCGCTTCTGAAAAAGAAAGACAACACGAAGAAGCTGCGCCACCAACGCTGGCTGACTGCCGCTTGGCTGAAGGAGTAGAGAGCAACGTTGAAGGTTGGCCGCTGCTGGCCGCTACCATCTGCTACTGACCCCCCTTCAAGGAGGCCTGTGGTACGAAGAAATGAGCGCTGAGCTTATGGCTGACAATGGAAGCGACTGACGGAGGTGGCAGCAGGGGTGGATGGGTGACGGCGTCGTGCGGTGGCTGCGAGCGGCTTCGTCGGTGTGGTCGCTACACGTACGCCTCTGCTCACTTCGCTGCAGTGACGCCGAAATGTTGTTCACGCGGGGACTGCTCACACTTTCTCTCTTGTGAAGGTGGCTAGGGCAGAAGGGCACGACCTGCTCGAGCGCCACGCCGGCTTGACGTGCCCCCTGTTGTGCGTACCCACAGACGTGCTGCTATGCGTGATGGACCATCTCGAGCCCTACGACCTGTGCAGTGTGGCACAGACCTGCGCCGTGCGTACCTTGTTAGAACCCGCCCACTCGCTCACGACAGATTCTAACGCACCAGTCTGTTGCGTGACAGGCTCTCGACCGAGTGAGCAGCGCCGACTGCATCTGGCGTCGGTTTTGTGATGTCGGTTGCGCCGACACTGCAGGTACGCCGTGGAAGGGCAAGTACATGAAGTGGCTCGCGCCTCGGTTAAAGCGATTTGCCCGCAGAAGACGTACCGCATACTCCGCCCACACGCACACGCACACGCACACGCACACGCACACGCCCCATCGCACACGCACACGCCCCATCGCACACGCACACACCATGGCTTCAACTTTCGCGGTGCCACAGAGGCGGAAATGCAGTCTACCACGCCGAGCCCAGCAGAGCGAACATTGAAGGTGGTGCTCTACGGTGATTGGGGTGCGCTTCACACATTCTTGAGCGTTCAGGTCCGTTCGAGAGGATTGAGCGACTGATTTCGGTGGAAACAGGTGTGGGCAAGAGCACGCTCCACCGCCGTCTCACTGGTTATCGGTATGTGCCCTACCAACCGCCAACAACGTTGCGCATTCCATACCGGGTTCAGACTCTCCAGATCGCGGGACTGCCCGTCACCCTCCATCGTACGTCCAAGCCATGGCCAACTCATGCTAGCATTGACTATGGTTGACCGCGAGTCTCGGCGCGTCAATGTTGGACTGTTGACTGGCGGTAGTGTGACGCAACCCTAACCCTAAGCAGAACCGCCCAGCGTGATACTTGGTACTTGCTCAAGCCCAGGGCTTCCATCAACTGAGTGCGAGCGCGAGTGTGCGTTGAACTGAGCATAATCACAGTTGGAGCCAAGGCGGATCTGGAGGAGCGTAGGCAGGTGACGGCTGCGGAAGGCCAGGCCCTGGCTCTCGAGCTCGGCACACTCTGGGCCGAGACCAGCAGCTTGACCGGAAGAGGAGGTGCGGCGTACGTTCTCTTTCGTGCTCTCGCGGTCGGGCAGCAGCTGACCAGTGTGGGTGCAGTGCACGAGGCGTTTCAGCTCTTGGCCGAGTCTGTCGTGTTGGGCAAGCTGCACGCAAGCGCTGGGGGCGGGTGGTACATCCCCGACCACCAGCTTCTGTGCCAGCTCTACTATAACACCACAAGGCCTCCTACCACAATTTGCGCTGCAGTAGCCCAATTATGATGCATGTGGAATGGTGCATAAGGAATGAAGCATGCTATTTACATTGGGAAAGTCTATTCCTTCACCAACTGCTCTATGGCCCACGACCCATCTTCCAAGTCCTCCTCCACGACGTAGCGCCTCTTCTTGACAGGCGTGGATCTCGCCTTCTTCTCCTCTGTTCTGCCACGTCGTCGATCACAAAGCTTCGTTTGAACGTCGTCGTCCTGTCTGTTCGTTCGTTTTTCCGGCTCCTGGCGCTTGACTCCCCTACTGACGGCATTCTCGCCGGTCTCCTGTCGAGCGCCTCCGCCACCAGGAACGACCAGTCAACCAGCCCCAGGGCGCCCCTGTCCACCGGCCCTCGTGGCTTGGCCTTCTCGCGCCCGGGCACCTCCTCCTGCACAAGTTTATGGATGTCAAATGCGCGGTCCAATGTTGTGATGTGGATCTCTTAAGTGTACCCTTAAGAACTGAGCCCTGCAACCACACCCTCACAACTGGAAATGTCAATAACCCACCACAGACAAGATACTGCAGAAGAGTTGAAATCAAGATGAGTAGTTGAACACCAAGCCACCAACCAATTTTAGGCAAGGAGCTTGAGTGCTGCAGAGTGAGAGAGAAAACAAATCCCTCTGTTGTAGTCAAATTTGGGGATATTCCTCTTTTTTAAAACCAAAAAGTTCCTATTGAATAAACAGGTGCACAGAAAACCAGTAAGGGACCTCTAAAGTTCTGATAGTGTGTGAAGCACAGTCACAACTAAGTCAGATCCACAGGAGGCCACTGGGCCCTGGATCTTGAGCTTGGCACACTCCAGCCTAGACATCAACACAAGGCCAGCTACCACAGGGAGCGGTGATATAGCCGCATCCACTGGGGAATTTTTGGAACAAAACAAAGCCCCGAACATGCCACAGGAGAATAGTGGCAAGGAGATTTTCTTTCCCCGAATGTCCGCAACACGCTGTTATCTTATTTCTTTCATTCTTTCTTTACTTTTACATACAACGCCAACACAACAACATGTCGTTCCTTCGCCTGACTCTGCTGGTCTGTCTGGTCGTGCTCGCGGTGGTGACGTCCGCCGTCGTCGGAGTTGTGGTCGAGAGCGACTGGTGCGACGACGTTCAGGCCGTGCACGTCCCCGTCGCCATCTCCAAGGGCTCGCCCATCACCACCGGCAACGGCACCGCGTGGACCGACGCCGGCGCCAGCGTGTGCACCCCGGTCACCTCGATCGACAGCGTCTGGCGCAGCTACTTCACCTTCAACCCCGACGGCCCCGGCACTGTCAAGGTACTACACCCCCCCCCGCCCCCTGCGCCACCGTGTGTGCGCCACCGCACGACACGCACTGACCAGCCGCAACAACGACGTGGTGTCCAGGTTCAATGGGACGACAGGTTCTTCTTCGAGTTCGTGGTGGACCTGCCGCGCAATGTGTGCAACGGCTCGTTCTCGAGCCCGGACAAGCGGGCCGTCGGCGGGTGCTACCCGTGCCAGCTCTACACCTCCAGATTCGAATGCTACTTCTACTGGCTGGGCCACTAAACAAAAAGCCAAAACAAACAATAAACCATTGCCAGCTGGCTTTGTCATTACATCTCTCTTCTTGAGACTCACCTCTTTGTGGTGGTGGGTGGTGGTGGTGGTGATGATGAGGGGTCTTGGACTCAGAGGAGATAGGGCTGTTCGGGGCGGCGGGTGGCGGTGTTGATGGCGTCCCAGGCCCAGTGCGGCGAGACCACCTTGACGGTGCCCACCCCGCCGCTGGCCAGCACCGAGGCGTCAACGTCGCGCCGCCACGACACCACGTGCGTGGTCTCCTCCGTCACCAGCTCGCTCACCTCCGCGCCATACGCCACCGCGTACCGCTCCAGCTCGCTCTGCGCTCACATCCGGATGACGTCAGCACGCACGTGTCATGTCGTTCTGCGTGTGCGTGTGCGGTGGTCCGTGTGCGTGTGCGGTGTGTGGTGGTGCATGTGCGGTACCTTATCGCAGGCGGGGAAGTGATTGCCCTTCTTCTTGTTGTGTCCATAGAAGTAGAATGAGAAGCCGGCGAAGATGGACGGCAGCTCGGTGACGGCAGCCGAAGCCGTCGACGAGGAAGTCGAGGCAGACGGACCCGAAGGAATGACAATCACTTTCTTCTTCGTCGTCGTCGTCGTCATCGTCGTCGTCTTGTCAGTCTCCGGCTCTTCCTGTTCACTTTCATCGTCGGCCGGGCTCACGTCTTCCTCTTCGTCGTCGTCTTCATCATCATCGTCCTCGTCTTCGAGATAGTGCTTGGGCAGGGCATAGTAGAGGCGCTCGCTGAGGTGTCGCTTCTCGCGCCAGCAGTCCGTCACCCACCCGGCCCGCACCACCTTCCCGCCCAGCCGGTCCGCATGCTTCACCGCTGCACCACCACCGCCGCCGCCGTTCGCCGCTATCAGTCGCAGAGATGGGAGCAAAAAGAACGAAGCGAAGACAAAGAACGAAAAAGAGCTAAAAACGAAGGACTGGTCCATAGGGTAGTACCGAGGGAGGAGAGGGCCGTGGCGGCGGGCGCGAGGAGCACCAGGTGTGTCGACATGCGTCCGCCGTACGGCACCCACTCCTGTTTGTTCAACCGCGCAATCAGCAGGCTGCGTGCGCGCGCGCGCGTGTGCGTGAGTGCGTGCGGGGCAAACCTGAGACACGGTGCCGCCCATGGCTTCGATTTGCTGGGTGAGTTCCCGCTTCGCGTCTCCGTCGACGCCGTCACCAAAGACGACGCCCACGCCGCGCAGCAGGCGGCTCACCCGCCTCTCCTCCCTCTTCCGCCTGTCCTCCTCGCTCTCCTCCTCCTCCTCCCTCTTCGCCCTCTTCTTCCTCATCAGTTGCTTCTGCGCTGTCTCGCCTCCTCGCTTCCTCCTCGTCGTCGTCGTTGTGTCGACGATAATCTCCTCCTTGGCCTTCGCGGCGTTGGCCTTCTCCTGCTCGACGTCCATCTCCTCCGTATCGCTCCCGCTGCCCTCCGCGGCGGCGTCGCCGGCGACTGTCGTCGCCTTCGTCGCGTTCGGCTTCGGCTTGTCTGGCGCTGGGCCGGCCTTGGGCGTCGTCGCAGAGGCGGCCGCCTGCGGCTTGAGGTCGGTCATGTCCATCTCCTCGGTGCCGCTGTCGCTGTCGCTCGGCTTCTTGGTCGCGGCCTTTTTTGGCCTTCGGCTTCTTGGTGGCGACGACGACGTCCATCGCGTCCATTTCC